TACATTTTGCACCTTGCTGCTCCACTGCCTCAGGAATCAAAGGCTTTGCGTCATTGACAACAGTCCCATGCATTGAATGGCTAAGTGAGACAAAACTTATGGAGGTGATTGAACCTCGGGAGGTGCAAGAATTTCCACCCACTAGAAGGAAGCTGCTACACCACTCAAGAGATATGTATAAGTTTGCGACATCCTTCCCAACAGAGAGTAGAATACATGGTTTTCCTTCAGCACAAATTCCAACCAAACAACCAGACAATGTCAATTCCAAAATGCAACCCTCTCAACTAAACACATCAGAAGAGGAAGCACGGCTTATTTCAATGTCCTCTTTGACAAAAAGTGATTCATTAAAAGAAATACTCCATGCACACTTGAATATCAAAGACAGTGGAATATGTGGCGTTCCCTCATCATACAGTACCAGTCTTCGCACAGAGAGTACACACGGTAAGAAATTTACACTATTATGATTGACATATACTTTGATAAACAATTTTATCTTTCATGATTTAATATTGTTTCATATATTTGCTTTAATGACAGATGACAAAGATGATACAAAGCAATGCATAGATGTTTGTCAAGAGATTGAGTAAGTGAAAAGCCTAGTGCTCTTGTGTTGTGTGTCTTCAGAGTGCTTTAGTGTTTTACTTACACAAATCGTGTGCGCCAATGAATGAACCAATGAATGCATGGGCTTTCTCGTGCATGCTAAATTTAGCATGTTTGTGATATAGATCTTCAGAAAAATCCAATATAGTGAGTACATCAGACCGTGGGATTGAAAACTATAATATATACCTAAAGGAAACCTTCACCTTTTCAAATCCTTGTATTTTTGGAGCTTTTGAACTAGACCAAAAGACTAGAATTTTATTGAATACATTTAAATCTCTCACATTTACAGAACAATGGGAACAATATTAAGGCCCTTTAAATGTGCTGTAGTTAAATTAGTTGACTCTTCTGTCTGGCCAAAAGTCTCTATTGGTGGTTTCCATGTTTTATTGATAGGACCACTGCTATACAGAAGATGGAAGGCATATTTCAAGACATTCATACTACATATCACACTAGATCTCTTAAAGGTATTGGATTTTCGGTCTATCCATCACGAAATCCAAACCCTGACAATAGATTTTTGGTTTGTTTAAGAGGCAGATGTAGAGAGAATACCAAAGTGAACAAATGGAAGACCAAGAGTTCTTGCTTGATCAACGTCTTATAAAGGAGAAATTGCTCACAGGGCAAGATTCAAATACCTCAAAAAGTTGTTAGCAAAACACAACGTTGACATATAGTAAGATGGTGTTGACTTTGTCCTTGCTAGACAAAGGCTGAGTTCTGGTAGACTGCATGATTGTATGAAATGTACTTAGTTTTTTAGTATTATGATGATGTGAGCTACTCGTAAGTGGCTTTGGATAAAAGCGTCCGCTAAATACAAAAAACATAAACAACTACAGGGGTGGGAAAGGAGGTTATAAGATAGATCTAAGACAGATGTAAAGATGAGGGTAATACTGAGGTGAAGTGAACAAGCCATTGCTGAAATTGTTCAAATAAGGTGTTTTAAGAAAATTTGAGGAATTAATTTTCTTTTGTGTCTATGTTGTAGGCAATTGGAGGAGGTAAAGGAATCATCCTGTCTACCAGTACCCATTCGACAAAATAAGAAGCGTTTGAGTGGTTCTTCATTTAGTGGCACCAAATCAGCAGTTACTCCAACCAGTGAACATAGAAAAGCTAAAAGACCACAAGATAGTGCTGCCTCTCCAACTGTGAGTATAACCTGCAGTTTTTATATTTGTGTAATAGCAAAAATCAAAAGGACTTGTATACATGCTGCACATTGACTCACAAAAAATAATCAGTACTGTTTTACAGTATAGTAGTTCACCATATGTACTATATACCTGTCAGAATTTCATTTATTTGATCAAAGGCGCACAAATTGTTCCCATCGACTGTTTTATGACATAGCTGATTGAATCTATTTGTTTAAGTGGCATTGCTGGGTCATTGAAACATGAATCTCTTTACACTGATATTACTAATTGCTTCATCTAGCCAAACTGAAATAATGGAGGACTAGAATCATGGAGTGACGTAATAATTTGCCATTCATGTAAGATTCTGTATTGCATCGTGTGACATGTATTGCAAGTTTAAAACCCTGACATATAAAGTAATGTCAAGATCAAATAAACTATTATTCACAATCGAAAATATTGTTGTTGAAGGGATATACATTTTCACCGGTCCTAATTAGATTGCTCTTCTGTCCCTCTGAGGAAAGGGTACCAAATAGATAATGAGGTTGAAACACTTTTTCAGATGATATGAATGTCCATATCTGAAGATCTGCGTGTGGTCACATTTCATCATTCTTTCATCTCCAGTTTGACAAACCAGCAGATGTTGTCCAAGGCAAAGTTTATAATTGTCTATTCTAGTTTTCAAGCTATGTCTCTTTTGATAGCTCAGGAAGCTTGATATCGTATATCAGAAAATCTGCCTCTTACAATTGCACTTCTTTCCTCATATTGATATCTTGTGTCTAGATGACCAGACCCATCTTAGGGACATCTTCTCTCTCTCTACTGGAGTGGTGTCAGGAGGTCACACAGGGTTATAAGGGAGTAAAGATCATGAACTTCAGCACTTCCTGGCGGAACGGTCTGGCGCTCTGTGCCATCTTACATCACTTCCACCCTGAAAAAATGTATGACATAGTTTGAGTACTGTACAACTTTTGCAACATGCAATGTATATGTTATTATTATTATTTTTTTCTTTCCTAGAAATTACGAAATGCTGGACCCGTTGGACATCATGCACAACAACAAAACGGTTGTGAATTTTTGCTTTATATATATATATATATATATATATATATATATACACACATGCACAAATACATCAAACAAAATTGAGAGTTCCTAATGTGTGATAGTTATTTTGTGTCAGTGACGCAGCAGCGGTTGACTTCAGTACTGTCACGTCTGGTGTCTCGTCATGTCCTGATTACCAATTGTGTGCA